CTTAAAATATACCCCCTCCCCTTAGCTGGGAAAGATTACAGAAAATCCTCAGGTTACGACCACAACGCGGGTTGTGAAGTGAGCTGTGCTCAGGGTTACGACCTTGGTTGCCACAGTTGTTAAGCGAATCACTGCAGTTGTTCAGTTAAACAGCCTGGCATCTTTGAATGTGTTCAGTGGTGGAGTTCCTTTTTTTTAAGGGATATTAAGTTAAAAGGTTGAAATAAAAGAGCCAGTTTGGCGTAGGGGTTAAAGCTGGATGGGTGTCTTTGGGCCACTCACCAGGAGACAGGGAGTTCTAGTCCTGGCTTAGGCATGAAAACTGGCTGGGCCCCCCCCTCTCTCTCTCTCAGCCCAGCCCACCTGACCAGGTTGCTGTTTTGGGGAAAATAGGAGGAGGAAGGAATATTAGCAGGAGCAATAGCCCTTAGACTTATCTACCGCTTCACAGTGCTTTCCGGCCCTCTCTAAGCGGGTGATAGAGTCAGCCTCTTGCCCCCAACAATCTGGCTCCTCATTTGACCCACCTTGGGAGGATGGAAGGCTGAGTCACTCGAGCCAGTCAGGATCAAACTCTTGGCAGTGGGCAGAGTTAGCCTGCAATACAGCATTCTAACAGGAAGGAAGGAAGGAAAGGAGGGAAGGGAAGGAAAGGAGGGAAGGGAAGGGGAAGGAAGGAAGGAAGGAAGGAAGGAAGGAAGGAAGGAAGGAAGGAAGGAAGGAAGAGTCAGAGCACTTAGACTTATATGCCGCTGGTGAGGATCGAACTGCTAGCAGAATCAGCCTGCAGTGCTGCATTCTAACCACTAGCTCTTAGCTCTTACTACCTACCTTCACTGCCTTGAGTTCCTTATAAAGTAATAAAGGTGAGATAAAAATCTTACGAATAATAAAATGGTAACATATCCTGTTGCTGGCCATTTTGTTTTATTTTATTTTTTGTTTAGCAATGTTAACAAGTCAACCACCGTTTAAATGTTTCCAAGACAAGAATAACCCAACTTTTACGGGTTTTTTTCTAAGCCCTTTAACATCGGCCGACTTTTAAAAATACGTTTTTTATCCTATCTGAACTTGTTGCTAGCTGAGCCTTCTTTCTCCTGGCCCTGGGATTCTTCAAATTCCGATTCTAAATGGAGATAACTTTATTTTTAGTTCTGTTTCCGTTTGTTGCTCTGTTGGCCTCTTCACGTTCTCCTTAACGGGGGAAAAGAAAAGAAAAGTGAATAGCCATTTTGCAGGAATAATGTTCGCTCCAGCCTCTGGTTAGCTGTTCCGCATTCCTCATCTTTGAAGGGCCGTTCAGGCGAGTGTGTTTATCCATCTTCCAAGCTCTCTCTTTCTTTTTTTTTAAATTTGAGTCCCAGAACAGGAAGCGTTTGCAATCTGGGGAACATTCCAGCCTTACCTCTCTTAAGTAAGAGGAAAAGGGATAAGGGAAAAGTGAAGGGCCTGAATTGTTCTAATGTCTCTAGTTTCCTCGGCAAACTGCCTGATTTCCTCCAGGCTGCTGTTCGTGTGTGCAGGCCGTCCCATTGCCTTGCCTCAAACGATGCTGGGAGTCTTGGTGTGAAGGCTTTGGGGAAATTGCAAAGAAGAAGCAACTGAGAAAAGGCCTGCAGACTAAAACACGTTGAGAATGGTTGCTGGAATTGGGTTGGGTTAGTCTGCAGAAAAGAAGGACCAGGGGAGACATGATAGCAGTCTTCCAGCATCTGAGGGGCTGCCCCAAAGAAGAGGGAGTCAATCTATTGTCCAAAGCCCCTGAAGAGGCAGGACCAGAAGCAACGGGTGGAAACTAATCAAGGAGAGAAGCAACCTGGAACTTAGGAGAAACTTCCTGACAGTAAAAACAATCAGTGGGAATGATTTGCCTCCAGGAGGTTTTTAAGAAGAGATCATCCCAAAGGTGATGAAAGGACTGTGTGGCAAGGAGTATAAATATTTCCATTCCCCACCCCCCAGTCAGAGCTGAAGAAGCTTCTCGGAGGAGAAGTGAAACGTCTTCAAAGAAAAAACCCAGAAAGTCCAGTTGCCTCTTGGAAGAAAAAAAAAAAAAAAAGGCACTTTTGGGACAACCGTGACCTGGATGACCGAGAACATCCAGATAGACATGAAGAAGAGGTTGAACTACCATTGGGTAGCAGGGGGTCAGGCTGGATGACCCCCAAGGTCCCTCCCAGCTCTCTTCCAATTGAGAATTCCACCAGTGAAGCTGCAGAGGAGCTGAAGAAAAAGGGTGACGTCTCCACCTAGTGTACAGCATGAGGATTGCAACCATTTGCAGATTAACTCCGCTGGTTTCCCTCCCACTCGTGCATGGATTCCTTCTGCGCGTGGACCAAGAAGGTTTTTACTCCCCTGGCAGTAAATTTCCTGGAGTTGGGTGGAATTCATTTCTGGTTTTTTTTTTTTTTTAAATCCATATTTTTTGTTTTATTCAGAAGCCTGAAATGCAAAATTCCAGAAAAAATAAACAGAACTAGACAAGGACGTTAAAAAAAAATGGAATTAAAAAGAAAAGTCAAAAGCACGTATTATTCCCCTTACACTAACAAATCTGTAGCAACCATAACACACATAGTCCTCGACTTACAACCATTCATTTAATGACTGTTCGAAGTTAAAACTGCACAGAAAAAAGGGACTTGGGACCGTTTTTCACACAACTGTTGCAGCATCCTCGGAGTAACGTGACCAAAATTTGGATGCTTGGCATCTGACTTGTATTTATGACAGGTTGCAGTGTACCAGGCTTGCGTGATCCCCTTTTACGACCTTCTGACAAGCAAAGTCAATGAAGAAACCAGATTCATTTAACAACCTTGTGACTAACTTAACAGCTACAGTGATTTGCTTAACAATTGTGTATGGGGGGGAGAAAGGTTGTAAAAATCACTTAACAAATATGTTGAACTTAAATTTTGGATTCAATTGTCGTAAGTTGAGGACTACCTGTAGGGTTGGTGGAAAACCAAGGACAGGGAGTCCTTGACTTATGATCGCAATTGGGACCAGAATGTCCATCACTAAGTGGTGCGGTTTTAAAGCGCAACTGCGTTGTTTAGTGACTGAAATCCCTGCAATCTCAGTTGAGGTCATTAATTGAATCCCACAACCAAGTCACTGGGGAAGCCCGTGGGAAGTCGCAACTCCAACCGGGCACAATTGCTTCAAATTCAGCAGCGCACCTTCGTTGGCAGAGGGAGCCTACACTCTTTCATAATCGTCTTTTTTTTTTCTTCCTTCTCTTTTTAGGGACCTGAAGTTGCGGAATTACATCCCGGAAGACGTAGAGCTGAAGGAAAGGGTGGTGCCCAATGCCAAGCCAGCTTCAGGTAGCTCAGTAGGGGAGACGAGGAGGGCTCCCCGGTGGGTGGTCAGTCTGTCTTGTCCAGGCCTGGCTGGCAATAGCCAACCAGGAAGCTAGCAAGGACGACAATGTGTCATTGTCCTTTTTTTAAAATCTCTCTCTTTCTCCTTCTTCTCCTTGTCTTTCTCTCCATCTCCTCCTCTTGTATCTTCTCTTCTTTCTCCATTTCCTTGTTTATCTTCTCCTTCTGCATCTTTTTTTCTCCTTCTCCATCCTCCTTTTTCATTTCTTTGTCCCCTTCTCCATATTCTTCATTTTCTCCTCTTTCTCCTCCCCTTCTCCTCCTCCTCGTGTATCTGATTTCTTCTTCTTCTTCTTCTTCTTCTTCTTCTTCTTCTTCTTCTTCTTCTTCTTCTTCTTCTTCTTCTTCTTCTTCTTCTTCTTCTTCTTCTTCTTCTTCTTCTTCTTCTTCTTCTTCTTCTTCT